CCCCAAAACCCCAAAACCCCAAAACCCCTTTAGTCCAAATTATAAGGTTTTCTGCAATTTAGAATAATAAATTTGATTTATATAATATGCAAGTGGAAACTTAGTGTTGTACATGCTTCAAGCCCTCAAGAAATAAGAAAAAGAGACATACTTATAGGGATCGATTAGACTTTAAAATAAACAGTTTGGAGATCAAGGAATCGATAGCATCAACTATTTTGACCAAAAGCATGCTGAAATCTAACAAATCGATAAAGTAAAAGCCTCTTTTAATCATGATCATAGATCTAGGAATCTGATTGGGGGTATAATATGGAGATCTTAACTTGATAAACCAGAGACAAGTAAATAAATTACTAAATAATTTTTTCAGCCTGAGAAATCCTCTATAACCAAAGAATCGCCATTCCAAGTAGGGAGATAAGAGGAGTAAATTTTGCAAATATGAATCAGTCGATGTCATAGCAGACTGTCTATGATAACTTATGTGGAGATATACCGTCATCTGTTTACAGTTCCATGGCTCTAACGCATCAAAAGATAATTCAATAAGATTTATTGAAAAAGGTCTATAGAATTGAGTGCATGAAATGTAGAAAGACCTTTAAAAGTAAGTCAGTTTTATTTGGACCAATTTTATAGAGGTAATTACAATGGAGATTCAATTAAATCTTGATGAGATAATTTCAAGTGAGAAAAGTAAATACAATAATATCCTTACTCTTAAATTTTAGATAGTGAATGCATTTGCCCACATTGTTTTTAAAAGGAGTCAATTATTCTAGAAGTTCAGAACTTAATTTGTTCAGGCTACATGAGTGACGAGCAGATAGATGATAACTTGAATTAAAGTAGCAATAATGACATCATAGATTCTAATGGCTCTGATGAAGAGCATTTTGAGAATAGTGGAAGTTCAGAAGAACTAAGAGGACTTTTGCTTGAATAGAACATGAACTAGGACAATGCTGATAATCTCAAGTTTCAGTTCATGATTCAACTCGACAATAATAAACAAGAAGAAGTTTAAAGCAAGTTGAACCTAGGATTCCCTAGCAAAGATTTAAGAAACAGCAACAATAATAATCCAAGTGAGATAGACATAATGATGCCAGAGAAAGTAGATGATAAAGAGGTTGAGTAGTAGTTAAAGAATCTGCTAAGAAATGCAAAAGTATGCAACTCTAGTGGCAACCTAAATCCGTCTGATTTTCCATCTGCTTCTCCCCCGATTATTATCAAGAGAAACCGAAGTGATAGTCCTAGGATAGCTATCTTTAAGGATATAGACACCTCTAGTATAGATGAGAATTCTCAAATAACAACTAAGCAGTCCACTACTAATCTCAATAGAACTTCTAAGTAGCTAACTCCTACCACTCAAGCTAATCTAAGAAATTTTTCGTTTCCAACCTCTCAGGTAGATCAATCCTCTTGTGTTAATTTTAACAAAGACATAATGAGAAGCCTGATATCCAGAAAAATGGAGAATTAGAAAACGTTTTATGAATTGAAAGTGCTTAATAACTTTTAAAGTATTTATTCTCTGAGTTTAATGGGCAATAATACAACTCAAAATAATGGTCAATTAATTCATACTAGAGTAGCACAAGCACAATAGCAGTAGCCTTACGAAAAGAAAAACTCAAACATTTTCACTGATTTCATTCTAGATATGGGTAAAAACTACAACAACAAAGAAATACCTTATGTAAATGTGAAATCATCTAATATAAAATAGCATGGTTTGGAATGAATTGATAAGCATTCTGATGCAAAGTAATAATATTTTCATCGTGCTTCTTTTCAACTATCTCTAATTATAAGTTTTAAATATAAAATATCCAAGTGTCATAATGTTCATAAAAATATTCTAAGTATTAAGTTTTCTCATATTTAAATCCAATATTTTTGTATTTTTGCTTCCTGGGGTTTTGGGGTTTTGGGGTTTTGGGG